ATCAAATGTCACTTCCCAGTTTTTATTTTTACGGAATATTGAAGAAATTGAAGTATCAAAAGTGTCAAGTATATCTGCTGCCACATCTTTTCAAATGGATTCTCTCTGGAAAGCATCTGTAAACGGATTGGATGGAGACATACGAAGTAAAAGAAAGCATATTGAGAATGGAGATGTTCAAATTTTTCAGATTGAAATCGAACTGATTGATGATTCGGACAACGTACAAAATGATCAATGGATTATTGCAACTGGTGCTCAACCTAACCCTGACGATTTTGAGTTACAAAAATATGCGAAACAACATCGATTACGTGTGTTGGGAGGCGTCGCTGCTTTACTTAAAAGCAAAAAGTATAATAAAAACAGCGATGATCTATTTCAAGATCTGAATTTTCCTAATTATCCTCATTTCCCTCGAATTATTGTAACCAATAATCAAGAAAATGAAGAGCCGAATAACTTTAAAGGAAGATTGTTTTCAACCTTTTCACTTCCTGAAACCACATGTTTGCCTGTTCACCTTAATGGAACCTGGGCTCAAAGTTCAGATCGGGCAAGATTGTTGATTGAAAAAGATAACAAATTGCCAGATATGGATCATCAGAAACTCAATTGGAACAGACATATCCTACTTGAATTCCTTCCCGATCTTCATTGCAAACTCTTGGAAGAAATCATTAAATTGCAAAATTATAAAAAAATTGATTTCAAAAACTGTATTTCAAAGTTTTGGCCATTTCCGCTTTCTACACATAGCCATCCAAAGTATGTATTTAGCTATGGTTGCAAAGTACTCCAATGTATGATACAATCTGAAAACCTTTTTCAATTAATCAACTCCGATGATCATTTTTATCAACATTCTCAAAAAGTCTATTTTTCTGGTGAGAATAACAATATAGACATTCTCTTCAAGTGCTTGCCAGTTGATAATATTGAAAATTTCTATCAATTACTACGAAGTGATTGGGATGGAATAGGTTAGTTAGAGTTAGTTGGTCTTCAGTAGTATTTCTTTTTTTTTTCTTGTAAATTTAGAAATTTTGATATTCCAATAACATAGTATAATAATAACTAATACATCTCTCTCGGTTTTTTTAGGAGCGAAAAAGGAATCCCTCAAATCAATAATCCGCAAATTGCCTATTTGGCCAGTACGATTTTTTCCTTCAATGACAAATCAATCGTTGAAATTTGCCCCAGTTTCAATTGGGTACGTTTTACCCAAGGATTTTAACATGTATAAAACAAAGGAGGAGAAAATTTTTCTAAAATCTACTGATAAGATAGACAATAGAATTTTGATAGATCTTGACGCTGCTTGGCGTGAAATTCATGAATATGCATTTAATGATGTTGAATTACCTGAAAAAAATGATCAAGAATATGTGGATTTTCTGGATTCCGTTCTGGAGAATGCAACTTCTGGATATGGATCTAGACCTGGATATGGATTTAGACCCGGATTATATAGATATAGAAATGAATGTAAAATCACCAAAGATTTAAAGAAATTTAATTATCTCTTTCCCAATGCATTTACTGATGATCTGATGCCGATTTCTAAACTATTCGATTATGATAATCTTGTTTTTCGAACTGTATTCGGAGGAGACTCAAATGTTTTTCTTCACCGTAATCTTACAAAACATAAAAGCAAATTATCAAATATTGGGTTCAATGATGAATTGAGTCCGGAGTCATTTAATAGATGTGCGAAGCATATCGAAGAATTGCAAGAGATAAATCCACCACCTGATATACGTCATCGTGGTTTCGTATTGGTCGATCATTTTTATAAAGATCTGAAGAAATATGACATTGAAAAAATTGATAGGATTTCATTCGTTCCAATTGCTAAATTTTTGGGCAAACCTTACGATAAGTATTATAATCACTCTCAATTTTTGGAGTGCTTCGACAATATAGTCCATCCTCAATATAAAGGTGTAGCATGGAGTCAAAATGCTTTATTCGCGGAAGATGTCATACCACCTTCAAATGCACTTGAAAAATACCCATCACTTGGTAAACCAAGTGATATCACGGTAATCAAGCACCTTAAATTCCTGCGCAATAAACTTATCGATGATGACGAATGGAGAAATGATTGGAAAGATACGTTTGTGTCTAACGTTTTTGAGGTTTATGATTGGCTTGAAGAAAAATGTTCAAGTGAAAAATTGATGTTGAGTTTATACATTAAAGAAAATGAACCATTATTCCTTAACCTTGGTAAAAGTCAAAATCCATTCGATATTGACAATTGGGTTTCTGCAAGTAATTTGGTTTTGAATATAGAACCAGGTGAAGATAAATATATAAATCCTCGCCTGTCAAAGTATTACGCAATGCTAAAAAGTGCTGGCGTCAAAGAAATAAAAGTACCAAATTTCAAAATACAAGTTGGAGAACATGATCAGTCAAGCATTATCATAAAAAACCTGCTGGAATTTTTATCCAATCAGATGAACTCTTTGCATGATGTTGTTTTTAATGTAAATGGCGAGGAAATATGGGCGAGTCGAATTGTGCTTGCCGCAAGCTCTGAATTTTTTCTTCAGAAATTCACTTCAGGAGAATGTGCAAACTCTAACCCAGTTACAATCGATATTAATGATGTTAGTCCTACCTCAGTACGTATTTTGTTGCATTACGTATATGGCCAAAATATCGATAATGCAATTTGGAAACATCAAAACACAACAAATCAATTATCAAATTTCGAAACATACAGAGAACTACTTGCATTGGCAAACGATTATGGATTAGATAAATTAAAAGAACTCATTGAATTAAAGCTCTCTCGAATAGTCAACAGATCAAACGTGAGAGATATATTAAATTTAGCAGAATATTTAAATGCAAGCCAACTCGAAGAATATTGTAAACGTTACATTGAGGTTAATGTGCATTCGTGATATTCTTGATTTCTTATATTATATACATGGCTTACTTGTTTTGTTAAGTTCTTGTTATTCTTTTTTTATTTACTTATTCTATTCAAAAACTTGTAATATTTAATTGATTACAATAATGTAATTCTTGTAAAAGGACCATTAAACATTTTTATTCTGTTAGGTCGGTCCAAAAATAATAAAAATATACTAATTCATCATAACTTACTTCTGTGGAGTAGAAATTCGAGAACATCAAAAGAATGTGCTATTGCTACAAGATAATTCACTTTTAAACATGAGTTCATGTGTATTATATTCTACAGCTGCGCTAATAAAAAATAAAGACATCAACTTACGTAATATTGCATAAGTTCTATTCAAACTTCTTGCTCTCAAAGTTTCACCTTAATACTTGGACTAAACATTTTAATAATGGTATTCTTAAACTATTTACATTTGGCAATATCAGTAAATAGCTACCCCCTTTTATATTTGGCTAATTTCATAAACAGGTGTATTTACTTTTTGAGTAATATTAAAAAATCATGCCTGATATTGATATTGCAGATTATTAAGACAGAATAGATTTCAATGTTTACTCTTCTACGCTGGATCATTTATTATATTTATTAACCTGAAAAAAAATTTTACAGTAAGGACAAATAGAAAGGGTCGTATTATGGGGATGGTACCTTATACTAATATTTTGTCTGATTGCATTTTACGAAGATACAAAAAAATATGATTAATTAATAATAAAAAAAATTAAATTTCGAAGTGGTTTTTTAATTAAAAAATGTAACTTACAACCTGACTTTTAAATCAAGAAGGTTGCATTGGAAGAAACTATGTATTTTTATCTTAAGTTCTATTGTTCCATTGTTCCATTGATTTTGGGGTGCTGTAAAAAGATATATCCGAGAAATTGTAATTATTCATGATCTGGTTTGCAACATATTGTTCCCAGTTTAGATTCAATTGATACAATTATGATAAGAAGAAAGGCATGAAGGTAAATTACTTAAATTACTGTAAACTTGCAAAAAAATATAATCTCACCAGATTTTGTAATAATGGATTTTGTTAAAATTTACATGAAATTTCGGGCTGATGCATGCTTATCACGCAATATTTCTCAAAAGCAGTTAGATGGATTTGAAAATAATCTTATCATTTTTCTTAAATTCTTCTGATTGCCCGTTTAGATCTTGTTTTTAAAAAAATTCTATAAACAGGTTTTCTGATTTCTCCGAAATTTTGTTCAGAGCAGTAAAAATGAGAAGCATAGCATATAACAACAATAAACTTGTATGTTATATATACTGTAAAAATATTATTATCTTTATATCTATAAGTGTTTGAATTTATCATGTGATAGTGAATTTTTATCCATTTTATATAAGATATTAAATTAAATACCAACATATAAACCAAATATAATAATAAGTATGTAATTAAATCTCAACCTTTAAATATCATTTGTAAATATAATAAATATTTTGGCACGTGTTTCTTCGTCTTGTCGATTTTTCATATAATGGTCAGGAACTTCTCCAAATGAGGTGATTAACTTAAGCTTCCTTAAACCTTTTGCAAATGTGTACTAGTTATTTCGTGGATATAAATGAAAACTATAATATTTCATGGCGTCAATAAGTTATTTTTATCAGTCAAAAAATATTAAAAAGAAATCATTTAGGGACCGTGGGATAAAAATAAATAAATTTTTGATAACAAATAAACATTATTTAACGACATAAACCAATTCATGATTTCTTAAAAAACCATGACTTTGGGTTCAAATTTTCGGTCTTATGGTCAAACCGAAACTCTTATTTCATCCATTCGTAATATCATAAAGGTATATTCATATACATATTTAAGTATCATATAGTGTTCTTTAAGATTAATTTCATTGCATTTGTTAGGATTATCCCTTTGAAAGTATATTCAAAGAATTCCTTCAGAATGGTCGGAATCAATTTTACAGTATTTTGATGACTTTTGAATTCTTTAACAATTTGTTTTAAATTTATACTTTTAATGATAGCGGATGATGCTGGCGCTAAAAGGTTTCACGTAATCGTTGACGATCGCTCACACCCTACCAAATATTTACTTTGTGATGAGATGAAGGAATGGCAAGGACCTGCCATTTTGATATTCAATGATGCAAGATTCAAAGGATCTGATTTTGATTCTCTCATGCGGATACGCGTTGGTGGAAAGCAAGATGATTATACAAAGATTGGAAAGCATGGATTAGGTTTCAATTCATGTTATCACTTTACAGATGTTCCTAGTTTCATCAGCGGTGATTCCATTGCATTTTTGGATCCTCAAGAAAAATTCCTACCAAAGAGAAATAACATCCCTCAACGTGGTATCATTGGACCTTTTCCCAAAAATGGCATTCGTGATTTTTCTGAAAGACATCAATTTGTTCCATACGAAGGCATCGAAGGCATTGATTTTCAATCAACTTTTAATGGAACACTCTTCCGAATACCACTTAGGCAACGACCGAGCGAAATATCTGATAGGATCTTTTCCGTAAAGGAAGTTCTTGAACTGTTTAAAAAATTTAATTCAAATGCCACTTCCCAGTTTTTATTTTTACGAAATATTGAAGAAATTGAAGTGTCAAGTATATCCAATGCCACATCTTTTCAAATAGATTCCCTCTGGAAGGCAATTGTAAATGGATTGGATGAAGGCATACGAAATAAAAGAAAACATATTGAGAATGAAGATGTTCAAATTTTTCAGATGGAAATCGAACTGATTTATGATTCGAACACAGTACAAAATGATCAATGGATTATTGCAATTGGTGCTCAACCTAACCCTGATGATTCTGAATTACAAAAATATGCAAAACGATATCGATTACGTGCGTTGGGTGGTGTCGCTGCTTTACTTAAAAGCAAAATCCAGAATGACTCTATTCATCCTAATCAAGAAAATGAAAAACCGAGTGACTTTAATGGAAGATTGTTTTCAACCTTTCCACTTCCTGACACCACATGTTTGCCTGTTCACCTTAATGGAACCTGGGCTCAAGGTTCAGATCGGGCAAGATTGTTGATTGAAAAAGATAACAAATTGCCAGATATGGATCATCAGAAACTCAATTGGAATAGACATATCCTACTTGAATTCCTTCCCGATCTTCATTGCAAACTCTTGGAAGAAATCATCAAATTGCAAAATTATAAAGAAATTGATTTCAAAAACTGCATTTCAAAGTTTTGGCCATTTCCACTTTCTACACATAGCTATCCAAAGTATGTATTTAGCTATGGTTGCAAAGTACTCCAATGTATGCTACAATCTGAAACCCTTTTTCAATTAATCAACTCTGATGATCATTTTTATCAGCATTCTCAAAAAGTCTATTTTTCTGATGAGAATAACAATATAGACATTCTCTTCAAGTGCTTGTCAATTGATAATATTGAAGATTTCTATCAATTACTACGAAATAATTGGAGTGAATTAGGTTAGTTCATTAATTACTTAGAATTTTGTTGGCCTTCAGTAGTATTTCTTTTTTTTTCTTTTATTTCAATAGCATAGCTAATATATATCTCTCAGCTTTTTTAGGAACGAAAAAGAAATCCCTCAAATTAATGATCCGAAAATTACCTATTTGGCCAGTACGATGGTTTCTCGGAAATCTCTCGTTGAAATTTGTCCCAGTTTCAATTGGGTACTTTTTACCCATTGGTTTTCAAATGTATCGACCAAAGAGTGAGAAAATTTTTTTAAATAATACTGATGTAACAGACGTTGAAATTTTGAGAGATCTTGGCGCTACCTGGTATGAAATTCATGATTACGCATTTAATGATGTTGAATTACCTGAAAAAAGTGATCACAACTATGTTAATTTTCTGGATTCCGTTCTGGATAATGCAACTTCTGAAGATGAATGTAAAATCACTAAAGATTTAAAGAAATTTAATTATCTCTTTCCTAATGCAATTACTGATGATCTGATGCCGATTTCTAAACTATTCAATTATGAAAATCTTGTTTTTCGAACTGTATTCGGAGGAAACTCAAATGCTTTTCTTCACCGCGATCTTATAAAACATAAAAGAAAATTATCAAATATTGGATTTAATGACGAATTGAATTCGGAGACATTTAATAGATGTGCTTTGAAAATCGAAGCATTGCAAGAGATAAATCCACCACCTGATATACGCCATCGTGGTTTTGTATTGGTCGATCATTTTTATAAAGATGTGAAGAAATATGAACTTGAAAAAATTGATAGGATTCCATTCGTTCCAATTTCTAAATTTTTGTACAAACCTTACGATAAGTATTATAATCAACCTCAATTTTTGGATTGCTTTAACAATATAATCCATCCTCAATATAAAGGTGTAGCATGGAGTCAAAAAGCATTATTCGCTGAAGATGTCATACCACCTCCAAATGCACTTGAAAAATACCCATCACTTGGTAAACCAAGTGATATCACGGTAATCAAGCACCTTAAATTCCTGCGCAATAACATTATTGATGATGACGAATGGAGAAATGATTGGAAAGGAACATTCGTGTCTAACGTTTTTGAGGTTTATGATTGGCTTGAAGAAAAATGTTCAAATGAAAATTTGAGGTTGAGTGAATACATTAAAGAACATGAACCCTTATTCCTTAATCTTGGTAAAGGTCAAGATCCATTCGATACTGAAAACTGGGTTGCTGCAAGCAATTTGGTTTTGAATGTTGAACCAGGTGAGAATAAATATATAAATCCTCGCCTGTCAAAGTATTACGCAATGCTAAAAAGTGCAGGCGTCAAAGAAATAAAAGCACCAAATGTCAAAATACAAGTTAGAGAACATGATCAGTCAAGCATTAACAAAAAAAACCTGCTGGAAATTTTATCCAATCAGGTAAACTCTTTGCATGATGTTGTTTTTAATGTAAATGGCGAGGAAATATGGGCAAGTCGAAGCGATCTTGCCGCAAGCTCTAAATTTTTTTATAAGAAATTCACTTCAGGAGAATGTGCAAACTCTAACCCAGCTACAATCGATATTAATGATGTTAGTCCTACCTCAGTACGTATTTTGTTGCATTACTTATATGGCCAAAATATTGATAATGCAATTTGGAGTTATCATTCGAACACAACATCAAATTTCGAAACATACAGAGAACTACTTGCATTGGCAAATGATTATGAATTAGATCATTTAAAAGAACTCATGGAATTAAAGCTCTCTCGAACAGTCAACAGATCAAACGTGAAAGATATATTAAATTTAACAAAATATTTAAATGCAAGCCAGCTCGAAGAATATTGTAACCGTTACATTGAGGATAATAAAAATTTGTGATATCGATTTTCTTATTTTTTTTATATCTATATACATGGCTTATTTGTTTTGTCAAGTTCTCTGTTATTATTATTTATTCTGTTCAAAAACTTGTAGTATTTAATTGATTACGATAATGTAATTCTTGTAAAAGGACCGTTAAACATTTTTATTCTGTTGGATCCAAAAATAATAAAAATATACTAATCATATCATCAAATCTTGAAAACAAGGCCAAGTTCAAAAGAAATTGAATTTCATGAATGAACCTTATATTTCATCATAACTTACTTCTGTGGAGTAGAAATTCGAGAGCATCAAAAGAATGTGCTATTGCTACAAGATATTTTCACCTTTAAACATGAGTTCATATGTATTATATTCTACAACAACTGCGTCAATTAAAAATAAAGAGCATCAGAAATTAAAATGGACATCAACTAAAGCGGACCCCGTAACGTTCAGAAGGACTTTCATGAGTTTTACCTTAATACTTCTTAATACTTGGACTATAATGGCATTATCGCTTGATTGTGGGGATCTCAAAAAAGCACCTTAAAAACTATTTACTTTCAGGTTAGTGAAATTTACATTTGGCAACCTTTAATTTTTCCGATAACTTAGCTAGGTGTGTATACTTTTTTGAGTGATATTATGAAGGCAGATTCCAATGTTTACTATTCTGGACTACGCTTGAATATGCTGGATCATTTATTATATTTATTATACCTGAAAAATCTTTACAATAAAGACAGTTGTATTATGAGAATGCTAGTATTTTTATCTGATGCATTGATTCATTCATCGATTCGAGCTTTCGGTTTATTTTATGATTTTTTATACAAAAAAATATATGTATCATATTATTGATTAATAAAAAATTAAAATATACAATGAAGATTTGTGCGAAGATACAACCTGATTTTTTAAATCAACAAGTGCATTTGTATTTTTATCTTAAGTTCCATTGTGAACTTTAATTTTATTAAATGATATTGAGGTGATGTAATTATTCATGGTCTGCCGGTTTAGACACAGTCGATACAATTATTATAAGAAAGGCATGGAGTTAAATTACTGTATACTTGCCAAAAAAAATACTTAACACTATCTCAAAAAAAAAAAAAAGTAATTAAATAAATTTACCTTTTATTTCCAAATATAATAACAATAATAATAAGTATGTAATCTTTCAAAATAATTTGTGGTAACTGATACAGGGATGAATGTATGCTAGTGAAAATAATCTAAAAAGTAAACCCACGATTTTAAATAAATATATTATGAGATCATTGAATTGTGAATTAATAGGTTGGTACATGTCTTTCGTCGATTTTCATACAATGGTCAGGAGCTTCTCGGCCAGTACAAAACGAGGTGATTTAAATAAAGTGGTTCTCCCATTGGTAAAACTTTCCTTTTGTTTTCTGGACAAATGCAAATAAAATAATCAATTTTTGTAAATTTTTTATGCAATTTGTTTTTTAAATTTATCTTTTTATATTAAATATTCGACATCCCGAAAATAAATTACAAACCATTATGTTAAATGGAAATCCATTGTGTATTTTTTTTTTTCGAATTCTACCTTTTCATGGTAATAACGAAAGATAAAAAGATATTGTAACGATAAAGGTAAATGATGTATAAAGATACTAAGATGTTAAGAATATGATAAAAATAATTAAAGAATGGAATTGTAAAATATATGGAAGATGAGAACACTGAATCTATTTATTCGTTATTGATAAATTTGATAAATTTATTACCTTGCTTGCACATGTGAAATTATTTTACGAAAGAAAGAAAAATTTTATGATTTATTTTTAAATTTTTATACATCTGCGACATTAATGGATTAATTTTTCAATTATCAGTTCCGCATCTAATTCTCTTTTTCTTCTTTTGTTATTGTAAGTTTTTTACGTTCTGCACGTTCTCTATATGTGCAAATAATTTCTCCACGAATTTACCTTTCATTAAAAACCTTATTTCCCTCGCCTCGTCATGTGTTATTATCGTCTTTGATTTATGCCATATATGGTTAGCGTGTATTTTAGTGCTCATTCAAGTGTTCTAGATAGGGTTAGTGAATTTAAATTAAAAATGTAAACAATACGGTCGGTGAAATGATATATTGCTCCGTTTTAATAAATGGCAAAATTTTACTTGTTTGATTTTTAAAAGAATTCCAACTGTTTTTTAAAAAAAACCATGACTTCAAATTACCGGTCTTATGGTCAAAATGAAACTCTTATTTCATCCATTCGTAATATCATAAAGGTATGCTCATATATACATTTACATTTAAGTTTCATTATCATGTTTTTTAAGATTAATTAATTGCATTTGTTAGGATTATCCCTTTGAAAGCATATTCAAAGAATTCCTTCAGAATGGTTGGAATCAGCTTTACAATATATTGATGACTTTTGAATTCTTTAACAATTTATTTTAAATTTATACTTTTACTTTTTTATATTTTTGTATATATTAAACGATAGCCGATGATGCTGGTGCTAAAAGGGTTCACATAATCGTTGATGGTCGCTCACACTCTACCAATTCTTTACTTTGTGATGGGATGAAGGAATGGCAAGGACCTGCCATTTTGATATTCAACGATGCAATATTCAAAGAATCTGATTTCGATTCTCTCATGCGGATACGTGTCGGTGGAAAGCAAGATGATGATACAAAAATTGGAAAGCATGGATTAGGTTTCAATTCGTGTTACCACTTTACAGATGTTCCTAGTTTCATCAGCGGTGATTCCATTGCATTTATGGATCCTCAGGAAAAATTCCTACCAGAGAGAAATAACCTCCCTCAACGTGGTATCATTGGACCTTTTCCCAAAAATGGCATTCGTGATTTTTCTGAAAGAGATCAATTTGTTCCATACGAAGGCATCGAAGGCATTGATTTTCGATCAACTTTTAATGGAACACTCTTCCGAATACCACTTAGGCAACGACCGAGTGAAATATCAGATAGAATCTTTTCTGTAAAGGAAGTTCTTGAACTATTTATAAAAATCAAATCAAATGTCACTTCCCAGTTTTTATTTTTACGGAATATTGAAAAAATTGAAGTGTCACAAGTTTCATGTATATCCAATGCCACATCTTTTTTTCAAATAGATTCCCTCTGGAAAGCAACTGTAAATGGATTGGATGAAGACATGCAAAGTAAAAGAAAACATATTGTGAATGGAGATGTTCGAATTTTTCAGATGGAAATTGAACTGATTGATAATATGAACAACGTACAAAATGATCAATGGATTATTGCAACTGGTGCTCAACCTGACCCTGATGATTCTGAATTACAAAAATATGCAAAACGATATCGATTACGTGTGTTGGGGGGCGTCGCTGCTTTACTTAAAAGCAAAAAGTATAATAAAAGCAGAATTCAGAATGACCCTAAAGAAGGAACATCGAATAAACGTCTAAGACTTAGTAAAAAAATATCCACAACTAAATCACATACTCATCTACTTCAACAACAAAATTTGCCGGCTTCAGGAATTGGAAATCTGAATATCCCTAATCTCCCTAATTTCCAAGAAAATGAAAAGCTGAGTGACTTTAAAGGAAGATTGTTTTCAACCTTTCCACTTCCTGACACCACATGTTTGCCTGTTCACCTTAATGGAACCTGGGCTCAAGGTTCAGATCGGGCAAGATTATTGATTGAAAAAGATAACGATTTGCCAGATATGGATCATCAGAAACTCAATTGGAATAGACATATCTTACTTGAATTCCTTCCCGATCTTCATTGCAAACTCTTGGAAGAAATCATTAAATTGCAAAATTATAAAAAAATTGATTTCAAAAACTGTATTTCAAAGTTTTGGCCATTTCCACTTTCTACACATAACTATCCAAAGTACGTATTTAGCTATGGTTGCAAAGTACTCCAATGTATGATACAATCTGAAATCATTTTCCAATTAATCAACCCTGATCATTTTTATCAACATTTTCGAAAAGTCTATTTTTCTGATGAGGATAACCATGTAGACATTCTCTTCAAGTGCTTGTCAATTGATAATATTGAAAATTTCTATCAATTACTACGAAATAATTGGGATGGAATAGGTTAGTTAATTAGTTGGTTAGTCTTCAGTATTATTTCTTTTTAACTTTTTTTCTTTCTCATAAATTTAGAAATTTTGATATTTCATAATAATAACTAATATAATATATATATATATATATCACATGCTTTTTAGGAACGAAAAAGGAACCTCTCAAATTAATGATCCGCAAATTACCTATTTGGCCAGTACGATGGAATCCCTCAATGGAAAATTGCTTGTTGAGTTATGCCCCAGTTTCAATTGGGTACGTTTTACCCAAGGATTTTCAAATGTATCGAACAAAGAGTGAGAAAATTTTTTTAAGAACTGATGATCATGTAGACAATAAAATTTTGAAAGATCTTGACGTTACCCAGTATGAAATTCATGATTACGCTTTTAATGATGTTGAATTACCTGAAAAAAGTGATCCCAACTATGTGAACTTTCTGGATTCCGTTCTAAATAATGCAACTTCTGATTATGGATGTAAAATCACTAAAGATTTAAAGAAATTAAAATTTCCTAATGCATTTACAGATGACCTGTTGCCGATTTCTGATCTGTTCAATTATAATAATATCGTTTTTCGAACTGTATTCGGAGGAAATTCAAATGTTTTTCTTCACTTTAATCTTATAAAACATAAAAACAAATTATCAAATATTGGATTTAATGACGAATTGGAGTCGGAGGCATTTGATAGATGTGCTTTGAAAATCGAAGAATTGCAAGAGATGGGCAGCCCACCATCAGATATACGCCATCGTGGGTTCATATTGGTCGATTATTTTTATAAAGATGTGATGGGTTATTTTTATAAAGAAATTGATAGGATTCCATTCGTTCCAATTACTAAATGTTTGGACAAACCTTACGATAAGTATTATAATCAGCCTCAATTTTTGGATTGCTTTAACAATATAATCCATCCTCAATATAAAGGTGTAGCATGGAGTCAAAAGGCTTTAATCGCGGAAGATGTCATACCACCTCCGGATGTACTTGAAATATACCCATCACTTGGTAAACCAAGTGATGTCACGGTAATCAAGCACCTTAAATTCCTGCGCAATAAACTTATCGATGATGACGAATGGAGAAATGATTGGAAAGAAACATTCGTGTCTAACGTTTTTGAGGTTTATGATTGGCTTGAAGAAAAATGTTCAAATGAAAATTTGAGGTTGAATGAATACATTAAAGCACATGAACCATTATTCCTTAATCTTGGTAAAAGTCAAAATCCATTCGATACTGACAACTGGGTTTCTGCAAGCAATTTGATTTTGAATGCTGAACCAGGTGAGGATAAATATATAAATCCTCGCCTGGCAAAATCTTATGCAATGCTAAAAAGTGCTGGCGTCAAAGAAATAAAAGCACCAAGTGTCAAAATACAAGTTAGAGAACATGATCAGTCAAGCATTAACAAAAAAGTCCTTCTGGAAAATTTATCTAATCAGGTTAACTCTTTGCATGACGTTGTTTTTAATGTAAATGGTGAGAATATATGGGCGAGTCGAAGTGTGCTTGCCGCAAGCTCTAAATTTTTTCATCAGAAATTCACACCAGGAGGAGAATATGTAAACTCTAACCCAGTTACAATAGATGTTAATGATGTTAGTCCTACCTCAGTACGTATTTTGTTGCATTACTTATATGGCCAAAATATCGATAATGCAATTTGGAGTTATCATCAGAACACAACAGATCAAACATTGAATTTCGAAACATACGAAGAACTACTTTTATTGGCAAATGAATATAAATTGGATCATTTAAAAGAACTCATGGAATTAAAGCTCTCTCGAATGGTCAACAGATCAAACGTGAATGATATAAAAGATTTAGCAGAAGATTTAAATGCAAGCCAACTCAAAGTTTATTGTGACAGTTACATTGATGAAAATATGTGATATTCTTGATTTTCTTATCTTTTTCTTATCAATATACATGGCTTACTTGTTTTGTCAAGTTCTTGTTATTATTTATGATTTATTTATTCTTTTATTTTTTTTATTTACTTATTTATCTATTCAAAAACTTGTAGTATTTAATTGGTTTACGATTATTTTTATACTGACAATTAATCATAATAACAAAATATACTAATCCATAGAACTAAAATATTATTGTTTACGATTATCATCAAATCTTGAAAATACAGTTAACGCAGTTGTAGAATATAATATATACGAACCTATGTTTGAAAGAGAAAATATCTTGGGGCAATGGTACACTTTTACTGCCAGAACAATCACAGAAGTAAGTTATGATGAAAAATATAAAGTTCATTCATGAAATTCAATTTCTTTTGAATTAAAAATAAAGAGCATCAGAAATTAAAATGGACATCAACTTAATGAATAAATGTAATGCCTGATATTGATTACAGCAACTATTATGAAGATATATAATTGACAGAATTGACAGAATAGATTCCAATGTTTACTGCTCTAGACTATGCATGAATATGCTGGATCAAAAAAAATTCTTTACAATAAGGATAGATAGAAAATGTCGTATTTTTAATATTTTATCTGATTCATTGATTCATTCAATTCGATCAACAGTCCATTGATCTGCCTAAGCTTTAATTCTATCGGTTTATAAAAAAAATTGTTATAGAGGTACAAAAAAAAATACATATATATATATATTTAATTAATAAAAAAATTAAATTTCGACCTGAATTTTTAAATCAAAAAAGTGCATTGTATTTTTATCTTATTGAATGATTTTGGGGTACTGTAATTATTCATGATCTGGTTTGTTCCCAGTCTAGATACAATGATACAATTATGATAAGAAAGACATGAAGGTAAATTACTGTAAACTTGCTTATCACTGGTCACTGGACATATTATCAAATTCTTGTAATATTGTTCAAAAAAGAAGTAATTTACCTTTTATGAACTAGATGGAACAAAGTTTAGAAAATAATCTTATCAATTAGGTTTTGATTGACCCGTTTGTTATGGATCATTTTAAAATCTTCATCGCTTTAAAAAAATTCAAGTAATTAACCTAAACTTCTAGATATATAAAGGATAAAAAGATAATAATATTTTTACAGTACAAGTTTACTGTTAACTTAATCCATTATATATTTCTCCTTGGAAGATAATAAATTAAATACCAACATAAACCCAAATATAATAACAATAATAAGTATATAGTTAAATAGTAAACCCATGATTTTGAATGGATGACTTAGTAAAACAAATATATTATGAGATTTATAATTATTGAATTGTAAATAAATAATTTGATACGTGATCTTTGTCTCGTCGATTTTCATATAATGACAAATGAGGTGGGAATGCTTTTAGCTTTCCTGACAAATAAAAATAAAAATTGCATCCTCCTTCAATTCTTTTTTTAAAATTATATTTGAAAATTACCACAATTATTTAACGTTACAATCGTCATTACCAAATTTGAATACAGAGTAGTTTCTTTAGTTCTGATGATATATTAAATATTCGACATACTGAAATAACGAACGGACCAATATATCAAAGTTTGCACTAACCCTATCTGGAACATTTGAATGCATCAAATACACGCTAACCCTATATGGCATAAATCAAGACGACAGTGATACATGACATAGATACGGAACTTTATTACATCATTTACCTTTATCTTTCGTTATTCCCATGAAAAAGATAGAATTCAAAGAAAACAAATACACAACATAAACAATACAGAAATCGGACATCAGTAGATATGCTGTATTTCTCCGTTAAATTAACGGAAATAAAAGATTACAAAAAAATTTTCTTGTTTGCATAAGCTTCGTTTTTTTTAAAACAATTGGAATCCTTTAAAAACCATGATTTTGGGTTCAAATTTTCGGTCTTATGGTCAAAATGAAACTCTTATTTCATCCATTCGTAATATCATAAAGGCATGTTCACATATATTTAAGTGTCATTATAGTGTTCTTTAAGATTAATTTCATTTAATTGTAGGATTATCCCTTTGAAAGCATATTCAAAGAATTCCTTCAGAATGGTCGGAATCAGCTTTACAGTATTTTTGATGACCTTTGAATTCTTTAACAATTTGTTTTAAATTTATACTTTATAATTTTGTATATATAAATGGTAGCCGATGATGCTGGTGCTAAAAGGTTTCACGTAATCGTTGATAATCGCTCACACCCTACCAAATCTTTACTTTGTGATGAGATGAAGGAATGGCAAGGACCTGCCATTTTGATATTCAACGATGCAATATTCGAAGAATCTGATTTT